TTTGCTATAGCATACAAATATGAATTTTGTGTTTGCTATATGTGAAAGTTGCTCTTTTGGAAATTTGTTTTTAAAAAAACTATAGAATTAGACACATTTTACTATCATATATACTATTATTATCTATTATTTTAAAATATTACGTATTTTACCACTAATTAAGAGTTTTCTACGTGTCTTACACTTAGTACATATATTTTCGCTACCAAATACACAAAAATAGGGAGAAAGGCAAGCGAGATTCATATATATCCCAGATACATGCGGATCACACTAGATACATGTATCTATATGTATCTGGAGTGATTCTCATATATCTGAGATACCAAATACATGGGAGATTGGCGAGCAAGATGGAAGAGAGGCGAGGGAGGCGAGCGAGATTTGCTATGTATTCCCGATACATCCAATTCCTCTTGAATACAATGTATCTAGAATAATTTACACCTAAATTTTACCTCATGTATCTGAGATACATGTATTTAGACGTATATGGAGGCTCAAAAATCTTATAAGATACACAATATAATAAACTAGACTGTATCTAAGTAATTAACTCCTAAACTAGTGAGATTTATGTAACTTCCCAAATTTTCCCCATATGAAAAGTCTTACAAAATAGCCTTTATTCATTTAATAAAAATTCCTTGGATAAACTTTCTCCCCAAATCTAATAAAATAAAGGAAGTTTGCATGGTAAGTCTTACACAACCACTCGTAAGCACGAGTTAGAAGAAACTTGTATAGGGTTGAACTATATTGCACTATCAGGAGTAAGACAAAAGTGAAATGTTCCTAAATGTCGTAGCCTCCCAATTATAGATGTGGCGCGCTTCACACTGATAAGAAGGACTCTACAGACACGGCTTCATAGACACCCTATGACTCTTGAACTCTTCGCTCTGATACCAAGTTTGTCACGTCCTGAGCCTACACCCTGGACGTGGCCGGCACTCGAGAACCATTTCTGATCCCCAAGCGAACCCTTGGCCTGACTGACTATTTAGCGGAAGACTTACTCAAGTATAAAAAAGTTTTAAATACAAAATTAACTCAATAGTCTCAATTAAACTCAACTCAAATAAATGTTTGGAAATACTTAATGAAGTATAA